CTTGAGCCATTTGCTCATTTATACTCTTTGATAATTCTGGATTATTTTCCCCTATATCTTGTATCACACTTCCTATGTTATACATCTCAAACCCTATTCTACTGCTTTGTACTTCTCCATTTTTTTTGTACACTTCATATTGCTTTCTTAGGTAGCTATCGACTGCTGGATCTTTATTTATGTCATAATTATTACTTATATATGATATTGTACCTGTTATTGGATCATATCCAAGTGCTCTCTCCATATTAAGTGCTTTAAAGTCGCTTTGTTGCAGTTTCTCATTCTTAAATTCTTCATAGCTTTTTATTTCATTATTAATTCTTTTATTTATATTACTTATATCTAATACCGTACTATTTCCATTTGTCTCATTCTCATATATCAATTTCCCATCTTCTGTGAATCCTATTATGTTTATTTTACTTCTACCATCTAAAATTCCTGGTAGTGCTTCACTTGAACCTCCAACTTGTGTGCCATAATATGCTTCCACTTTTTCCTGGCTGCCTTTTGGTATATTTAGGTTCTCTCCTGCTATTATCCTATTAAGGTCCAGCAATTGTGGGTTTAAATTCCTTATTTCATCTTCACTTAACTTATACTTTTCCATTATATCACTTACCGTATCTCCCCTTTCTATCTTCAACTTCTCTACTTCTGCTCTCTGCATATTGTCAACTTGATTAAGTGCATCCCACACCATGCCTGGCTCTGCCTTCTTTTCTTTTACTTTCGCCTTGTTTTCTGTTTTACATACTCCTCCACTGCATACATAACTATCTCCTTTCTCTCCTAATACAACTCCACCTCTAAATGCTTCTGCCACTCTCATTCCTTCTCGCCCTGCTCTATCTAAGTCATTTGCTAATTTTTCATAATCCACATGCCCAGCCATTCCTTTAGATGCACTCTTATTCTCCTCTTCTCTCATATCTTTTATTTTTGATACTTTTATTGTCTTATCTAAATCTTGAAATAATTTTTCACGATTTATCTTCCCATCTTTACCTTCATAAGCGATTCTAGTCTCATGTTCAGTCCAGCCTTTTATTTTTGCTATTGTATCAATTGCATTTTGTTCCTGTCTCTTAGCTTTTACTTCATCTATTGTAGT